TTGAAAATGTTTCTTGAAATGAAAACAACGTTGAAAAAAAAAACCCTAAAAACTATGATTCAGTCCACATCTGTTCAGACTGTTGCTGAGATCTTCGGCTTGAGAAACACAGACTTATTCCAGACAGAAGGAAAGATTTGTAGCCGAGCTATGGTCTATGATGCCAATAATAATAATAATAATAATAATAATCATAATCATAACGTGATATGAAGTCTAAGTTGCTTCAACACAGACTTATTCCAGACAGAAGGAAAGATTTGTCGCCGAGTTATGGTCTTGCCGATGATGCCAATAATAATAATAATAATAATCATAATAATAATGTGATATGAAGTCTAAGTTGCTTTGACACCATAAAGATGTATTACCAGCGATAAAATGTTGTTCATTCACTCTTTGGCTTTTTGACAACAGGAGAGAGCCGAGCCGCCGGGATTGTTGTGTTTCAATTAGTCGAGATGGCACACGGAAATCCTTCCATCAGATGTGATACGTACGGATTGCATTTGCCGCCTGTTTCTGCGGACAAAATGGACAACATTATCGCATGCATAAGACTCCATCCATACAAGCATGCACCGCGTGTTATTCTACCCTACTTGCGCATGCTTTCGGCTGTTTATTGACGCGCCAGTTTGAGTTTACTGTCAAACTAAACACACAACAAAAGGAATTACCGACAATGTATACTTAAATACAAGACACACGATACTTGGTTTTAGAAACACTACCATTGCTAATGCTAGTCGTCAATGGGAAATCCTACTAACTGTCTAATAGTAAATTAACAAAGGTTTGGGTATTTTGTTTTTATTGAGGTGTTTTTATTTTTATTTCGATGTTTTATTTCGCCAAAGCCTGTATGTATGTACCTCTCAGCATTAATGAGGAATCCGCAACCGTCTTTTCCAAAATGGTCCTTTTTCTCTTTGGCCCAAAGGACACGAGGACCACAATTTCCAAAAACAAAGTTTGAAATGTGGACTCGTCAGACCACAGAACACCTTTCCACTTTGCATCAGTCCCTCTTCGGCGAGCTCGGGCCCGGGTGTTGTTGACAAATGGTTTTTGCTTTGCATAGTAGAGATTGAAGTTGCATATATATATATATAATCACCATCTGCTGACATCCGAGCAAACATCACAACTGTTTGTGGCGCATCAGATTGGCATGAGAGGTAAAGTTGGCAACCAAACACTACTAGTGTGTCAACAAGGGTGTCAAGAATGCCATTTTACCAACACTACAGGTTCTAGGTTCTATAGCAGAGGGTTCTGGTAAAATTTCAAGTGAAAATTGTACTGCCCAAATGCCCCCAAATTCACAATTTTGCAACAGATACTAGACAAGTTGTTAAATCACAGTACACACACAGCCCAGCCTCAATTTGATATATTGTATTGTTCTAAAAGCAGAGCAAATGTGATTAAAGTTACAAAATATATATATAAAATAAAAATAAAACGCTGCTGGGTGATATTTAACAACTGAGCAATCTTTTAGCTGACGTCCTTCGAATTTCATTACAAATAAAGTCATTTCAAGTTCACACTTAATTATTAAATCACATGCTTGAGACATTTCTGTCATTTTAGGACTCGTGAATTGTAAAGCATTCCAATGAGGAATTCAATGACATCAATCTGTCTGCGCTATACAAGGATTCGGATATAATTGAGGCTTTTCTTACCGGTGTGCAGCATCCCGGAGCCAGACTCGCCTTCGGAATCAATCAAGGTTGGGAAATCTCCGGGGGCGCCTCTGCACATGTTCATAAACCCGAGGAGGCAAAGTGTCCACCGAGACACCCAGCACAGCATCTCTTTCGTGGATGACGGTGCCAAAGTGCCTTATGGACATAAAAGTGTGCTTGTCATTGATTGAAAACAAAACCACGGGTCTTTTTCACCTGTCCGGTCGTTTCCTCCTCTCCCACAGCCGGCATCTGTTTTCCCCTCCCTCCGCCACATCGAACGATGAAGCCGGACAAGACCCGCCCACGCTCTCCTATGTGGCCAATCAGAACTCTGTATTTCTTCGAAATTTTACTATCATCCAATTCGGAATATTTGTCATTCATAAATGGCAGCCAGGAAACGTCCGGGTGGCGGAACGCAAATCAACTGCTACTGTTATAATGAAGAGATCCCGCTGAGCCGCGTGTTGTTGGAAATCTTGATTTGAATTCTGTATTGCACAGCATTAAGGCATTCGAGTTGAATGATTACCCAGTACTGTATTCCAATCACACTCCCATTTGATCAGTTGTGTGTGATGCTGAGATGAATAGCCTGTAGATTACAACGTGACCTTGACGAAATCTTTCGGAATGCAAGACAGCCATGTCATAATCGTTCTTCTTTATTCAATAATTTATGCTCATACAAAAATCGGTACAGTTAGACTGACTGCGCAGTAGACAGTCGAGTAAGAGAGATCAGGCAGCGAAGGATTGAGACACTTGAGAACCACTCTGCAAGTACATTTGCACTTTTTCTGGGGGGGGGGCGGGGGGGGGGACTGGTGGAAACTTTGTGACGATGGTATTCAAGTTCATCAAGTTTACACACTGGCTGGCTGTGTAAAGCGTCAAAGTCATGGATGTATTCAAGTCAAACCTTTTTTTTTTCTTTCACTTTTGCACATGCACGTTTCTTTGAAAAACATGCAAACAGGAAATGTCCATTGGGGGAAGCCAGAATAAATGAAGACCGAAGACATTTGACACCCTGTTCAAATTTGAGGTTGAAAACATTGTCTGTTTTCGGAGCACAAATCCAACACATCCCTGGAGCCATACTGGGTGATGGCCAATCATTAGAAGAATGAAACAAGCATTAGTGACACGGCCAACCCCCCAAAGCAGTTGGGAATGACAAACAATGTATGAGAATGGTTTCGGGTGGTGAGATGAGGACACTGTAAAATGGGAGACCAAACCCACCCAAATAATGTGACTGACTCCCTTTCAACGTACCCATTGTCCACTATCCAATAGTTGCGGTTGTGGACAAAATCAAAAAGATGCTTGGGGCGCTCACATTTTTCACATCGCTCAATTTTCCTCCTCTGGCAACGTAGTACGCATGGAAGATTTTGACAAAAAAATCCCAATCTGAAAGCCTTTCAGTCGACCGTTGAGGTATCGTTCAAACTCGTGCAGGACCATCGACCCGATGGGCTTGTGGAAGCATGCCCGATTGCTCGGAAAAATACAAATTCCATATTTGTGCATGATTTCATTTGGAAAGCCCACATACGTCACCCGGCCAACCATAACATCTTGGCAATTATTGTTTGTAGATCCAGAAAACGTTTATTTGGGAAGTCTGACAAACTATTCGGACTGATGTACCTTGAGATCTGGGCGGTGAGTCTAGACTAGACGTATACCGTATGCAGGGCCGTCCCTTCCGAAATGCAGAACGTGCGTAGGGTCTAATTCTATATGGGGGAGAAAGGAGGGGGCACAATTTGAGCAAGGGGTCGCATTTGGGGTTCGGGCCTGCAAATGAAATTGTGCTTGCTGTTTCAATTTGGTCAGACTGCATGTGAACGTGTATGTCAAGTTGAATAGAAAAAAATCCAGCATCCATATTTTTAATATACCCATCATGACACCTGAAGAGGTGAACAAGCGTCATTGCGAGGCAGTGATAGAGAGACCCGCAGAAGGGTGTGCATGCATGCAACAGAATCAGCCCCCAGTGACACACTAGCAGACGCTGTCAACCTTTTGAGAGAATTTAGAAAACATTTTCCCAGTGGAATCTTTTTTTTTTTTTAGGTCTTATCAGACACACAAGTACCAAACACTCAAAAAAAAAAAAGTACACACATCTTGATGGCTTTCCAAACAAACACCAATCAACAACAACAACAAAAAAAAATGCTCTACATCATTTTTTGATTAGGTGTTACAGCTGAAAATGCCCACGGATTCATCACGACTGCATATTTGGTTACTGCTCCAAAAAATGTATGACCTCCGTTTAAAAACTCAAAAACAAATGTGGCAACAGATTTAAGCAAAAGGTAGAAAAAAAAATCAATATCTGATGGTTGATGCACAAAAGTGGGCCACAGACAGCCCAAGCATCCGCACCAGACCAACGGAAACGTGGCAATGCAAATCCACATCACAAAAGCAAACGCTGTTGACCTGTTGGAACGCAGACTGAACCAGGAAGAAAGAAGAAGGCGCCGTCTTATTCATCCTCATCGGTACATCCCTTTTATACAGCGCTTGTCCTCTTTCGGTTCGGTGCGTATCCCAGCTGACTTTGGGGGAGACGCGGGGTACACCCTGGTCTGGTCACTTAAGCTACATGCATGTTTTTCGAATGGGGGAGGAAGCCCGAGTACTTGTTAGAAAGCCCACGCCAACGTGCACTCCACAGAGGAGGAAAAAAAATGTTGTTTTAAATAGCAGTAAATTAAGGACAATGTTTGAAACGCTGCAAATTAATTTGGTTTTCATTTTTTTTTTGGAAAACAGTTACCCCTCGCCACTTAACGCTTCATGTTTTGCGTTTTTTTCCCAAAATACTGTATTCATAAAAAAAATTTTTAAAAAATCAAATAAGAAAAATAAATCTCAAAATAAAAATGAAAAAAAAACACAGCCATATTGGCAGGCATTTTGCGGGGGTTTTTTTTGTTCGCAATTAACTGTGAAAAATGAGGGTTTACTGTATTTCGGTCATCGCGACTTCAACAGCGGTCATTTTGTTCGATCGCTCAAGCGGTCCTGAGGGCCTACCTCGCGACCGTGGACCGGATGTTGGTGAGCCCTGCGGTTGAAAGTTAGCCACCGTGCCTTGAAAGAGCAATTGTGTCGTGGTCGTGTTTGTGTGGAAGTTATTTCTCTCTTTGGGGCATCCTGTGGGCTGATGGAAAGGAATTAAAAAAAAAAAAGGATGGGTGCTAAAACAACCAAGCAAGCAAAAGGCGCTCGCTCCTCTTAAGAGTTAGAAAAAACAAAAAAAAAAACAGCTATGTGCATCTCCCGAATAGAATCGGGTCTGCTGGAGGACATTTATTTCTGACTTGAGTTACATTTTGATCATGTAAAAATGGCACTTTTGTCCTTCTACAGACCTTATCTTACCGATTGACTGGCAGTGTGTTTGAAGAAAAAGGCAAATGCTTAGTACACACCCTTGAATAAAGTACAGACACAATTTTGACATGTTCAAGATCTCGGCATGCACTACACTGCTTACTTTGGATCTTTAGTTTGGATTCACCAACTACAAGACTCGGTATATAAAAATGTTTCTTTGTTTTTTTTTTTTTTTTCTCGAGTTTTCTGTTTTTTATCTAGACCATCACGACAGATCCAAACAACTTTATATTTTCCGGTAGTCAACCGTTGACATCCCACGACTTACCTGCTTGTCTGTGTGTTCAACACAAGACCACCCACTCAAAGACGCCAGACTCCTGCTCACATCTTGTAAAATGAGGCACTTAGTATTCGGCCACATGTAAAATTGTTGTCCAAGTCCCTGCGTGCGCCCCCCCCCCCCACCCTGCCCCAATTTGAACAAAGCTTGACCATGAAAATGGCTCATGTTTGTTTCTTTTGCCTCCAAGCGACACTTGTTGATCTTTGCGGGAATTGGAAACATTTCCAAGACCGACATAAAATCACCTTGGTCGACGACGGCCCTTCCAAAGAATTCCGTCAGATGTTTGATACGAGCGCATCACATCGAAACCCGTGCCCTTATATGTCAAGACAAAATATAACATCCAGGTAGATCAAGAATGAGGCATTTTAAACGCTTCGAAAACATAACAGTTGCTCTTCAAGATTTTGGCTTTTCAACTTCAACCCCACCGTCCAAGGCAAAAATACTGAAGGGTTTTCAAAATCGTTTTGGGTCGACAACGTCAGCGTTCTGTTTTCCTTGGGCAGTTCTTTGTGCTGGAAGGAGAGTTAGCAGCCTTTCACAGCACTTTCGACAGGCCGGTTCCCACTTTCCCTCATTCCAAGCCTGCCGGCCTTTGACCAGCTCACGCGACCCTGACATGAGCAACACGGACAAGCTGCTTCTTCATCAGCGGATAAGAAACACCTCTCGAGTATCCTCGCGTGTTAGCACCAGTCCTCATCCTCTCTCTCCCTGAGGCTTCCTGTCGCTCGGCTGTTTGACGCAGAGTTGACCCCAAAGGTGAAGTGGTACCCGTTGGGGACCACGTCTGCGCGCCCTTGTGCGGCCGCCGCTGTGACGGGAACAGCGACGGCGTCGTGGGAAGAAGACGAGGTGCTTGCGGAGGCGCCGCCCCTGGCGGAGTGCGACAATACTTGGCTGCTCACAGCGTCCTGGAAGTCTTCCGTTTCTTCCGCGAGCGCTTGCGGAGAAGCTCCCTGCAGCTGCCGGTCTAAATTTGGGTCGGAACCAATGCGGGTGACCGGTATCGGGGAGCGGTCGCTGTCCCCGCGCGAGCACTCGTGTTCTGAAAGGCCACGGCTGGCACGAGTGTGATGTCCGGCCATCGTGGTGCTGGCAGCGGATGAGAGGGGGGAGGAGTTTGCGGTCTTGTAGGCCACAGCGGGACGAGGAGTGAGGGGAGTTTGGGGCAGCTGCCTGCGACCGCGGCCTGGTGTGCTTGAACCAGAGGGGGCGGGTTTACTCCCAGTGCTACCGTGCTGGGGGGGGGGACAAAAAAAAAAAAGTGACCATCCATAATCTTATCCAAATGACAACCCCCCGCCCCAAACAGCGAGTAACTCACTTGTTTAAGGATGGCGGTGTCTTGTCCCTCTCCTGGAGATGCGGACCGGCTTGGGCCGGCGGACTTGGCGTGGCTCGTCTCCCTGGAGCCGTAACGCTCGCAGGAATAGTAGCGCTGCTTCTCCCCCGCAGAGGAGTGATGCCTCCTCTCGTGCGGCCGACTGCGGTCGCGCTCCCTCGCTCGTTCTCGAGACAAACCTTCGGCTGAGGGGTCAGTGAATGAGCCTGCGGGGAGGGGGGGGGGGATGCGCAAAATGACAAAACTGTAGGCTACACTCTGTCATATAATTCTCATCATATTGCAACTAAAATATGACTTATTAAAAAAAAAATACAGGAAAATAATCTCAGAGCGTGATTGAGTTTGGCTCCAAAACTCTTACTTTTACTTTGGTAAAATACTTAATGCATAAGAGAAACAGAGCGTCCATGCCAATAGTTCATTTTGTGATCGTGACTTTGCTGGTAAATATATTAGATGGATGAGTCATAAAACATCGGGCTTCTCCAGGCGTACGCCTGGGAAACGATATCCGGAAACAAAACCGATGTCCTGACAGCCTTCGTGGCTGGGATGCACACAGCTGATGCCCTCTTGCCCAAAACCTTCACAAAGTCCACGTGTAAATGTTTTTCTGCGACATTAAAAAAAAAACAAATGTGCACATACATAAACGTAGCCATGATGAGTATACTGAGCATCACCAAGCGGTCATTTTGAGGCAGGTGTAATCATCTCTGCCCCTCATACCAATGACGACCTGTGATGACAGACTGACGCCTTCTTCATCAGCTCCAAACATGCCATCCAGGTCACTTCCCTCCCCTGCGCCTTCATACGACGCATAAAAGAGTCTCTGTCTCGTGTCTTTCCAACCTGATCAACGCACACCCCCATTGACAAAGACAAAACCAGCAGTGTGGAACGCTGGAAGAACAACGAGACCATTCAACAGTGAACGCCATCATCATCGTTGTCGACTCTGATTGGAAATGGGGGAGGGGGCGGGGTGATGCCGCGTCACCTTTGACCAACTTGTCAATTGACTGGAAACACATGATGGAACGCGGCCACAATATGAATCCCTGGCTTCAAATGGCACAGCTGTTGTCGCTTCGTCACCTTGGTTACAAGAGGAACGAGCGATGTGTCGTCGTAGTTTTGTTCACTGAATGAGCTCCTCATTTTTTTTTTTTGGGTTCCTCCCCTTTTCTTCAACGCATGCACGAAAGCACACATTGTACGGTCGAATCATTTATCTCACAAATACAGGACCACCTGTTTGAAAAACTTGGCATATCCCGCGAAGGTTTATTGACTGTTACTGTGCGGTGACTGTTGACGACGTTAACATGCGTGCTGGCGTCCCTCGGGACGACTGCGCTGAGAACGACAAAATACTGTACATCCTCCGGTGCTGTGAACTTACTCAACAAGTGCAGAGCGCGCCATCTGTGGAGTAACGAGCACTGAAGCTGGGGCCTTACAGAAAAACAAAGAAGCAGGCTGGAAGGCTGGACACGAATCCCTCGCTATCACCCGATTCATCTTTCACGGCCTCGCTGTTTCATGTCGTGCAGTTTTTGTTTTGTTTTTTGCAGTGCATTGTGTTGTGCGTCCTGATTGGCTAAAAGGGACTGTAGACTAATGAGCTTACAGGAATCAGAACTGCTCTCATATTAATTGGGAATTTCTACATTGTGAGACAAATAACGGTTTTCTTATCTTGTCTGACATGCTGACAAAGAAAAAAACCCAGAAGTATTTTCTCTACTTTTGACTGACCAACAGTGCTCGGCGGCTGCACCGATGTCGCTCTATCCAGGGATTTTGGCTTTTTGTCTTTGTCTTTGTCCCTGCGTCTGTGGCAGCGGTGGTGGTGATGATGATGTTGATGGACTCGGTCCGGGCCTTGGACCGCTGATGATTGATGCTGACCCGGTCGCATCAGGTTGTAATCCTTCAGAATGACCTCCTGGTTGTGCGGCGGGGTCAGCGAGGAGGCTGAGCGTCTTATGGGACTGAGGTCAACGATTGGCTGGAAACGGAGAGAAAGCAGACGGCAGTGAGGAGGACGTAACGTGACGGAGAGTGTCAGGTCGTAACGAGAACCAAAGCTCTTTGACTGGATCATGACAATAGTCACATCGCACAGTATGAAGGCAACTTTTTCTTTCAACGCATTCCTATTCCTCAATCATACCAACCCCCAGGTACCGATGTTGAAAAGTTTAGAGAAGAAAGACCTTCAATATTTAGGATTACATAACTGCGGACTACAGATTTAGTGGACAAAGAACAGGCTGGGTGATGACATGACGATTTCTGGCTTTCTTCTTCATGGGCGCCGAGACCAATTATCGGATTAACACAGTTGTGCGTGTGTGTGTGCATGCGTATGTGTGTTTAACATTTGCTGATTAAAAAAAAAAAACCTATTCTCACCATTGTGTTTCATTCCGTATGTGTGTTTAACATTTGCTGATTAAAAAAAAACAAAAAACTATTCTCACCATTGTGTTTCATTTTTGTTGAATATCCTTTTAGCAGTATGTTTGACCGTTCTTTGTTACTGTGCCTGGATTGTCCACTGCCCTCAAAATGTATCAGGCAGGGAACCCTCTTCAAAAAGCTCAAATGATTGTTCAGGGGGGGGGCACGTTTGCGATTCTTGGAAATGCGTCTGACCCCTTGCGCAACACAGAATCGTACAGAAATGGATTTTTGCCTGTCATATTTGGCATCCTAATAAAGCGGAACGTTTATGTTCGATGTACAGTAACGGACCGACTGAAACAGCTGATGAATGCTTCAACTTCTAAATCAGGAGTAAATTGTTCATTAAAGGGGAAGTCCATCCCCAAATTTTCTTGACAATAATATGTTCTACGCAGCCCCGCTCGTCCACACGCGGCATTCTGATTAGCGATGCGGTAAAATCCACACGTTTTTTGTCCACCTCCGGGGGCGGCCATTTTGTCATTTGCCGTCAACTGGAAATGACATCACAGTCACTCTGTGTTGCCTACAAAGTTATTTATAATGCACCAATTTGAGACATTCGGGGGTAACAATAGAACAACACAGTAAACAAACGTGACTACGTTATCAAGAATGAACTTGAATGACCTTTTGTCATTCAAGTTCAAACTGCACCGAGATGACGGAAGCTCACAGACACCAAGACAGACATGAGAGAGGAGAGGAACAAAGAGGTGGCACAACAGGTGGTACATACTGCCAGGTGGGTCCCAGGGACGTGGCGAGGGTGGCTCCGCTATCAGACGGCACACACAAGAGGGAGGTGGGCAAAATATTAGCGACGGGCATCCAAACGAGGGAGAAAGCGAAGACAGAAGAGGAGAGAGAGCGATGAAGTTCAAGGTTGGCGGTAGCCGACATTCTCGAAAAAGGTGACAGTCACTTGATGTTGGTGTTGAAGCACCGTCCGCGGGGGGCAGTTTGGTCTCTTTTCTGCCACAGAGTTTCCCATCGCGGAAACACAAAACACATGTTGGTCCACTCGTGGCAGAACTCTGACCTGACTTTGCGGTGAATCATGCATAAAATGGGTGGAACGTGAGACACATGCTGCAGGAAGATTCAAATGTGACCCAATCATCCATTTCAAATGTGTGCCTACCCCTTGGCTCGGGTTCAAAATATATTTATCCAATTTTTTTTGTTTGTTTAACATGAGTAATGCCAACCTCCTCTTCCAAAAAGCCACATAGGAAAAGTGCATGTCAGGTGACGCGGGAGAGCAGGAGGGCAGAGAGCAGGAGATCAACTAGCGAGAGCAGGCAACTAACCAAAACAAAAAAAATATAAATAGCCAGAAAAAGCGACTACACTTCACAGAATGGCATTAAATTAAACAATTTAAACTGATGATTTGACTGAAAATGACAAATAAGTTGCATTGCTCATTTTTATGATCAAAACTCGGAATACGGTGCAAAGTATAACATCGACACGACAGTGGCGGAAATTCTTCTTCTTCTTTTTCTTTTTTTTTCCAGAAGACTTCCTGGCAAATTTCTGGATAACTATGGATACAATTTACAAGGTTCATTAAGAACTCCAGAGTCCAGAATAGTCACAAAAATCAGTTCGTTCATCAGGCTGATGACCAGCGTTTGTTTCCAACATTACATTGCACTTGCCAATACAAATATAATATGTCATAAATAATCATAAAAGGCTTGCTGTTATTGCAAGGAAAGGATGTGAAACTAAGTATGAACTCACTGGAGTCTCTTTAAAGGTTATCTCTTCCGAAACTTTTGCTAAGCAAAATATATGGCGCCCTATTTTTTTTTTTTAATCTCTTGTCTCATATTCATCTTTTGATGTCAACTCCGATATAAAGGAAACGGCCTCAGTGTTACCATTTATTTTGGAGGGGAGTGTAATTGCAGACAGACCGAGTGGCTGACTTCTTACACGACTGATATTTCCAAAATAAACACGAGAAAGCAAATAGACGCAGCGTCCTGGAGAGCGAGGAGCTTACGTAGTACTCCGCATTGAGTCGAGGCAGAGAAGCTGCACGACTGTGGCCTTCCAGGCCAGGGTATGCTTCCGTATCTGAGATGATCTCCACCGGCTTCATTTCAACCACTTCCTGAAAATACAATGAAGCACGCGTGGCAAAAGCAGGTGGTCCATTGTTTTAAGTGCTCTTGGTTGTGGCGCTTTTTTGTGAGAGGTTGTGTGTGTGTGTGTAAACCTGAGGCCTCGTGGAACACTGCACATCTTCTGACTGGCCTCTCTGTAGTTTCCTCCGCCCTTTGGGTCTCAGGGCGGCCAGAGAAACATCTCCCGACTGGGAGTGTTTTATGGAACTCCTCTGGGCAAGTCTGCTGTGAAGGAAAAACAACAAAAGTGTGTTTTATCTTTCGCTGTTCATCTCCGAGGAAGGTAGAATTGGTTAGCGTTTAGAGCAACGTAAGTACGCGTCGTGGGAGAAACCAGTCGAACGCCGTTGATCATTTCGGAACTCCTCTGGGCAAGTCTGCTGTGAAGGAAAAAAACAACAAAAGTGTGTTTTATCATTCGCTGTTCATCTCCGGGGAAGGTAGAATTGGTTAGCGTTTAAAGCAACGTAGGTACGAGTAGTGGGAGAAACCAGTCGAACGCCGTTGATCATTTAGGTCCAAATTGACGTCACTGACTGTAAACGCTCACATTGCGTCGTCGTTCACCAAGGTGGCGGTCGTGGTTGCGACAGGTGGAAGAGGTGACGTCTTTGCTTCGGACTCAGGCTGGAGAGGCAAGAGTTGTTCCGGACTGGCGATGGGAGGCTCTACTTCCTTGATGTGACCGAGGGGAAGTATAGGACGAAACAAGGCCCCCAGTTTACTCTACAATAAAAACAAAAGTGATAATGAACAAAAGGCATGATGTCAGAGATCCTCATCTGTTATCGACTGCACTCATTATTTCAGTACACATCCATTTTCTACTTTTGATCCGCACGTGCACAAGTACCTCACCAGTTGCACTTCACAATGCAGGAACATTTCACTCAACTACCGGATTCCACTTGAATCAAAGTCCACGAATGGCTCGTGTACCTGAACTCCTCCCGAAGGATGCTGCTGCTGAAGTCTTTTGGCTCGATTCTGCTTATAGTAGTCGAAGATCATGAGAGCCGCATAGACTTTCCCCACAGTCAGCTCATTGTCTGGTAAAGAAAGCACACAGTAGATGGCGCCAAAGTACCAAAAAAAAAACCCAAAAATAGGAACACAGGAGTGACCCGTGATTCCTTGGTGGCTTGTTTCCATAGCACTGTCAAAGAGAACTCGGGCTTACATTTGTGTGGCGTCACAAGAAGGTCAACGGTCTTCGGCGACAAGCTGGGCCAAACTCTGTTTAATTCCCTTTTCAAGTCAATATCGCACAGATGTTGTGCCAAGACTCCTGTGAAAGCAAACATTTGACATGAATGTGCAGTTCTTATCAAGGATATGATGATGATCACGATTCACAAAAAATCATATGCGTCATCCCAGCTGCAAAGAATTCCAAACGAGCTTCCGACCGCTCACCGGATGCCAGCTTGATCTCGAGGGCTGTGCGAATCAAGGCCATGAGTGTGGAGGTGAAATGCACCGTGTTGTCGTCCGCAATCGGCATGTTCATCCTGACCAAACGCTAACACGAGCGGCAGAAAAAGACAAGGCAGCTTTATGAAGCGGGAACATTCACACGCGGCGCTTGTTTCCCAAGACCCTGAATGTTAGTTTTTTTTTTTCCTTAACACGTCGAAAAGTACGACTGCAATCAGAAAGCCACAAGAGCGCGGACTACTGTAATCAGTCATTCTTGGTTTTAATTCTCGTTTAATCCATTCCAGTCTGTGCTGCATTCTATTCATTGGTCATGCAGATTTCACATTGAGACATTCACATCGAGGCAAGGCAGGGCGGGAGGTACATGCACATCTACATCCAGATCCCTGAAGCATCAGAAACAATGCAAAAAACACAAACAGCATGATGTCCCTAAAAGAACATGTTTTCCTGTGGGATAGCAGAGCTCAAAGCTCACCTGCTTTAAAACAAAAAAAAAAAAAAAAAAAAAAAAAAAAAAAAAAAAAACCACAAAGACAATGAGAGAGATGACGAAGAAAAAGGAGGTGGAAAATAATGGGCAAGAACGTGAAGTATTGTGTATGTGTGAAAAGTCTCGCAACTATTTCCGAGAAACGCACAGCGGTAGCGTGTCAGCTGAGGACATGAGCGCTAGATAACGACGTATCATGCAAATGGGGAGGAACACCCACGATAAAGTCACCGGGGAGATTTGAAAAGTCCCCAGTGTAAGCAACCCTGCATCCGAATTAAAATGCTAATGAAGAAAAAACAAAAAAAACAAAACTACATTTGCTTCAACATTCTTATTCTTCTACCAAACTCTGTGTAAAAAAAAAGCGGGTTGCGACAGGATGATCAGTCGGGAGTGAAGTTACAACAAGGTGATTTAAAAGTGTCATTTAAATGCACGGCAGCTAAATTGAGGAGCTCCGCCTGAAAGTCTTCAATAAGTTAGCAGCAGCAGCAGCTGCTTTCGTTGAGTCTGGACAGTGATTTTTAAATCAGACCGGCAAATTGGTGCCGTTGCCTTTCATCTGAGGCAGCTGGCGAAAGTAAAGCCTCTTCGTTCTCAAGAGCACTTTGAAACAGTCATTCATGCTTTCGGATGACTGTCATGCGCTTTACTTTGGAGTCAGCCGATCCTCCATTCAGCGTCTCCAGTTGGACCAAATTGCTGCTGCTCTCCTCTTGACTGGTACTCGTAAGAGGGAGCACATGACTCCTACACTCTGGCATCATTTTAGGGTTCTTTTGAAGATCCTATTGTTTGTTTCCAAATCTTGAAATGTCCTGGCCCCACCCGCCCTCTTTGAGCTCCTCTATCCCGACGCACCCGCCCGGTGCCTCAGGTCTGCGGACCAGACACGATTAGAGGTACAGAGACCGTTCACAGTCACATTCTTATGTGTGGACCTCCAGGTTCAAGAATCTTGGTGCTGCTATTTCGCAGATATTATTTTTTTCTACAGCTCTCTTTAGGCCAAATTCATAAAGAACGAATTGTGGCCGCTGACGGCACCTTCAATTGCACTTCATTTACCCAGAGTCAAAGATTCATCCTAACTTTTCTTTTGTCTTTGCGGGTCTGTGAGAAACGCTTTGTGATAATCTGTGCAGACATGTTTTTTTTTTTTTTTTTTTTAAAACCGAATTCAGTCAAAGGGCTCAAA